GAGTTTGACAAGCCAGTTCGTTTCTCAGAGCAGAATTACGTACACCAAAAAATTCACTTAAGGTCTCCCCACAGATCCTCCCGTGGCGGGAGTGATCATGCACCCAAGACCCTGGATTAAGCCCACACAACTCTAAGGACAGGCCCGACCCGACCCCCTAACCTACAGCCCAGTCCTTGAAGGGGCAGGGTGGAGGAGAAAGACGACCTCTTCCCCTGCGTGCCCCACCTCCCGGGCTGGCTAGGCTGCCACGTCAGGCCGAGCCGGCCGCGGTCCTGCCCATCCTCCTCCCGCCGATCTCTCTGACTCGCGGGCTCCCCGTACCCCAGACGCCCCACTCAGGACTCAATCTGAACGCACGGAGAAGTGTCCCATTAGAACCCACGGCGAGGACACAGTTGACAGACTCCCCAACACAAACTTTTCAGACAGAACAGGGCCCCGCGCCTCGGGATTAGCGCCTTCCCCCTCGCCTCCGACAGCTCAAGTTCCTGAGCGGACTAAGTGCGAAGCGGGGCCCGGCTATGCGACAGCTTGGCTCGGGCCTGGGCGCCCACGCCGAAAATCCACAGGCTACCTCCCCGGGTCCGGGCACCAGACTGGCCGGCCGAGGGGGTGTGTCTGCCTGGCGCAGGCTCGCTGGGCTGCCTGACGGCCGAGGTCGGTGGGTCCTCCAAGCCACCCAGCCCCCGCCCGAACCTCCCGGGCCTCCCCAGCCACTCACCGGCGCAGGAGCGCGACTTCCAGATCTTCAGCAGCAGAATGACGATAGCCGCCAAGTGGGACAAGTCCCCGGTCAGCCGGAAGATGTTCATGGCGGCGGCAGTCGGCGCAGCGCAGCGGCCCCGGGGCTCGGCGGCGGCTGCAGCCCCTGAAACGAAGCGGCGAAGATGGCGAGAGCAGGCGCGACGTGGCCAGGGACGTGGCCGAACTGCCGGCGCGCGCGCGCGCGGGGCAGCTTGGGAGAGCGGCCTCCGCCTGGCCCCGCGCATAGCCCCGCCCCTTAAAGACAACGTTACTGAATGCAGGCCGGGCTAGGCAGCTTGGGAAGCTCCCAGAGGAGAACTCCGGCTTCTCGCCAACTTCTCTCTGCCTGGATTCTGGCTTCCTCTCAGGTGCCGGCCCATTCCTTTAATGTTTGAAATCATCCTTTTGTGAGAGGTTTTTACTTCCTTTCACTTACCATAAAAGTTCTACAAGCTTAATGCATGAAAAAGGATAAGAAAGAAAATTAAGCTGTAATTACACTGGTCAAGATCAACACTGGATCTATAGTGGAGATGTAGTGGAGAGTGGTTTACGTGGGGGTCCGAAGATTTTATCAGCCTGGAGACTGTCTTTAAGAAAGAGAACGCAAAATTAGAAAACTGAACATTTCTGTAGGACTAGAAAGTCACAAGAAATTACAAACGAAACAAAGCTGACAAATAGGATCTGCTACAGAATGTGCTGTCCCGGTGCAAATTGAAACACAAGGTTCTAGTGGAGGGCGGGGAGGACAGCAGCGCTGTTAAAGTAGTAAAAGATAACATAAAACATTTTTCTTTTGCAGTCACCCTCTCCCAACTTGCGGTATTTCATGTTTGCTATTTAACATCTTTCTAAGTAAAGAAGAAATAATTTAAATTATGATCATGAATTTTACCATTTGTTTTTATATTGGGCAATGTCAGTTTTGAATGCAAATATCAGAGCACATAACTCAGATAAAGAATTTCTGAAAGTACCCAATTTTATTTCATGGCTTGTCCATGGAGGGTGCCTGGAGCTGTCCAGAAGAGAAAGACAAAGGCCGGACCCAGGAAGGTTGGAAGAAAATGGGGGGAGGGGGTGTCCTCCGGGCTCTGAGCAGGCCAAGTGAACACACCCACCTTCAGGCATGAGGATGCTGGATGGGCCAGTGTAGACATTCAGGTATGCCAGGGAAGCACATGAGTGTCTTAAACTGAACTTGTACAGGGTATGCACTTGAGCCTGATGGCACTGGCTCCCTCTCCCACCAACTGACCTGACAGAGCAGAGTGTGAGTCAAGGATCACCCCTTTCCACGTGCTACACTCCTACCCCTGGCAGAGGGCTATCCTCATGGACATTGCAACTTCCATGCTAAGACAGGCTAGGTACCTGGATCAGGGTGGGCAGGAGAATTGCCCCTACTGAGTTGCCTACCAGGTACACCATGAATTGGTGGACAGCAACTGCTGTGACCTGCCCAGAGAGGTCACCGCTTATCCATGCTGACCTGACTCTACCCACTCTGTACCTGCACCTAGGCCTCCACTGAGTGGAGGGCAGCAGTGGTCACTGGGCAAGGGCAAATAAGGACAGACTGCCAGATTGCCAAGGCATGAGGAGTAGGCAAAGGAGAACCCACCGTGGGGAGGCAAGGAGGTGGCAAGAAGTGGAACTATGTGTATGTCCAGGCTTCAGCTCTCTGTTTCAAGCTCTGTTGTCTCATTAGTCTTAATTTGCAAAACACACATTCAAAGACAAAATTATTATTATTATTTGAGACAGAGCCTCAAGCTGTCACCCTAGATAGAGTGCCATAGCATCACAGCTCACAGCAACCTCCAACTCCTGGGCTTAAGGGATACTCTTGCCTCAGCCTCCAAAGTAGCTGGGATTACAGGCAGCCGCCACAAGGCCTGGCTATTTTTTGGCTATAGTTGTTATTGTTGTTTGGCAGGCCCAGGCTGGATTTGAACCTGCCAGCTCTGGTGTATGTGGCTGGCGCCTTAGCTGCTTCAGCTACAGGCACCAAGCCTCAAAGACAAAATTATTAAAACTTTCAATACGGTGGTTGCAAAACATTAAACTTTGAATACAGGCCCATCCAAGCACTGGTCCCTGGGAAATTGCCCAGGTCTCTCTCCCATGAATTTAGCTTTGCTCACAGATACTACAGAGAGCACAAAATCCAGAAAATAATACTTTTATTAATTATAGTAACTACTTCACATACTTCAGTTATAGTCTTTTTCCTATATTTTTGTCGCTATACACTATTTCCCCTTCATATAATGATCTTGACATATTTTCTATTGAAAGAATAGAAAAATGGTCTTTTCTCTAGCATAGTTGATTAAAATAAAAGAATTTTGTTGTTGTTGTTGTTAAGACAGAGTCTCACTATGTCACCCTTGGTAGAGTGTGTGGCATCACAGCTCACAGCAACCTCAAGTTCTTGGGCTTCAGCAACTGTCTTGCTTCAGCCTCCCAAGTAGCTGAGACTACAGGTGCCTGCCACAACGCCCAGATATTTTTTGTTGCAGTTGTCATTGTTCTTTAGCTGGCCTGGGCTGGGTTCGAACCTGCCAGCTTTAGTGTATATGGCTGGCACTGTAACCACTGTGCTACTGGCACCGAGCCAAAATAAAAGAATTTTTGATGCTTTATAAATATTTATTTCATCTTTTCAACTCATTCTTGGTAATATCATGGATATTTTTAGGACCATTATCACATTTGGGAGAGTCTCAACTATGTTTCATTTAAGAGCTACAAGATCTTAGGATATTTCTAGTTTTCTTGTGTAGGGGCTAATATGTGTTACTTTTTGAATTGGTGATACTAGGTAACCAGCTCATTGGCACTCCTTGTAGTATTTCATGGTTTTGGAATATGTCCACAAACTATGTGACACATCTCATGAGAGGTAAAATTTAATTCCCCTTCCCTTGAATGTGGACTGGACTTAATGACTCATGTCCAACAAAAACAGTACAATAGAGATGGTAGTTAGTCACTTCTGAGTCTATGTCATAAAAAATATTGTGGCTTCCTCTTCCCTGTCTCTCTCTATTCTCCTCCTGCTTGTCCTCTCTCTTCTTCTCTCTCTCTCTCTCATCACTCAATCTGGAGGAAGTTAGCTGTCTGGACATGAAGCAACCATATGAAGAGGCCCATGTGATAAGAAATAGTCTTCTTATTACCAGCCTGCAAAGGGCCTTCTGCTAATAGCCACAAGAGTAAACCAACTTAGAAGCAGGACTCCAGCCCCAATCAAGCCTTCAGATGAATGAAACCTTGACTTGATGTCTTAACTATAACTGTTGAGGAAATATAATGAAAAATAAAATCTTCTGCCCCTAGGAAAGACTTTTCTGGGATGCTAAAGTGGCAAGAGGCTTCTTTATCTTTTAAACTATATATCTGAAAGAGACAGAAAAAAGATTAGTGATTGAAAATTTTCTAAAAGAAATGATGAAAGAGAAGGTTTTTGTGAGATGGTCAAGGGAAAATTTATTTTTCTTTAGATTTTTATTTATAAAACTTTGTAAGATTTCCTAATTCAGAGGCATCCAACTAAGCTGCTCCCAAATTCCTGGCCTTCAAAAACTGTAAGATAATGAAAATTTGTTGTTGTTTTTTTACTTTTTTTTTCTTGAGACAGCATCTCCCTCTGTTCCCCAGGCTAGAGTGCAGTAGCATCAACCTAGGTCACAACAACCTCAAGTTCCTGGGCTCCAGTGATCCTCTTGCCTCAGCCTCCCAAGTAGCTGGGACTACAGGTGCACAAGACAACACCCAGTTAATTTTTTCTATCTTTAATAGAGATGGGGTCTTGCTCTTGCTCAGGCTGGTCTTGAACTCCCAAGCTGAAGCAATCCTCCCACCTGGGCCTCCCAAGAGTGCTAGGATTTACAGGTATGAGCCATCACACCCAGACAAAAATTTGTTGTTTTAAGGAGCTAAGTTATGGGGCAATTTTTTACTCAGGTACTGATAACTAACACAGGATAAAGCATAAAACATGTATCTTTATCCAAAGACATATGGAATAATTGAGTTCTACCAGGGTTTGAACCTTACACAGAGGTATACAGGAATTGTGATCATTCTATTTCACTGGATTCTCATAAGAAGAATGTTTAACAGAGTTCCTGTAAATGGAAAAGGAAATATACATAAAGTTTTAAAAGTAAAAAAGAGAGGAAAAAAAGAAAAGAAAAATGGATCATATACCCATAATTATATTTACTGAATTATCAAGTCTAGTCACATAAGAGAAAATTTCCATTTTGACTGAACTTCACTGAAAGCCAAATCCTCTACTATTTGATGTTTTTACTTGGAGAGATTTTTGATAGACTGGCTTCTGTCTCTCTACATTTCACACTATGTTTCTTTTCCATTAGTCACATACAGAGGCACCACCCAAGAAATGGTTCCCTGCACACTTTAGGGAGTCTTTCTCTGTCACCCAGGCTAGAACGCAGTGGTCTCATCACAGCTCATTGCAGCCCAAAACTCCTGGACTCAAGTGATGGTCCTGCATTAGCCTCCCTGTCTCAGCTGGGACAACAAACATGTATCACAATACCTGGCTAATTTTTATACTTTTTTGTAAAGATGGAAGTCTTATTATGTTGCCCAGGTTGGTCTCAAACAATTCTCTTGCGTTTGCTTCCTAAACTATTCCACCCAGCTGATCTGGCATATTTGAAAAAGAACCAAATTGAACTTTTTATAAATGAAAACCATAATAATTGACATTAGAAACTCAATGGGTGAGCTGAACAGAGATTAAACATAGCCAATGAGAGAATTAGTGAGCTAGAAGTGAAATATAAAGAAAGAAATTCAACAGAATGTAGTACTATCAGGCAGAAATGGAAAATATGAAAGAGGGAGTTTGAAAGAGAGAGTTAAAACACAAAGAGAATAGAGTAAGAATGTAACAAAAATGTCTAATTTGAATTTCAGAAGGAAGACAAGATAGAGAGGATAGGAGAGAAGTAATATTCCAAGAGAAAATGGAGAACTTTCCAGAAGTGTTGAAATACCCCAATTTTCAGATTCAAGAATCCCAAATGAGATAAAGGCAATGAAATATCTTCCTAGTCAATGCAGAATGCCAAGGGCAAAGAGAGAACGAAATCTTTGAAATCAATCATGAGAAAGTACAGATAACTTACTGTATTGTGGCCAGGTATGGTGGTTCAAGCCTGTAATCCT